AACTTCTAGGCTCTTGATGCCCACTATACATATAGGTACCTTTTTCTGGCAGACCCCTACCTCCACTCCTATCTGCATTTCAAAATTGTCTAACAAAAGCAATCAATGTAACCTGGTTCTATATACCCTCAATGAATCCCCAACAATAAAAAAAAAAAGAAAAAAAATGTCTTTTCTGTGCTATGTCATTCCCCTCTGCCTACTGTTCCCCAGCTGTACTTTAGATCACTTGGGGTAACTTTTTAAAAATGCCTATGTCCTCCTAAACCTATTATTCAGAATTGAAATGGGGGAGCAGGATGGACACAGTGGACCCCGCCTGTAATCCTAGCACTCTGGGAGGCCAAGGTGTGTGGATCCCTTAAGCTCAGGAATTGGGAGACCAGCCTGAGCAAGAACGAGACCCCATCCTCACTAAAAACAGAAAAATTAGCCAGGCATTATTGGGCACCTGTACTACTCAGGAGACTGAGGCAGGAGTTTAAGGCTGCTATGAGCAGGCTGAGGCCATAGGACTCTAGCCCAGGCAATACAGCAAGACTCTGTATCAAAAAAAAAGAAGAAGAAGAAAGAAAGAAAATGAAAAAAGAAATGGGGGATCAGACAAAGGAACTGAGAACCACACAGAGATGCTGTCATCTCCACAAGTCTGGACCAGGCAGTCAATGATACTTACTACATACATCATTAACATGCTCGAAGATACAAAGGGATTTTCATCACCTTCCCCTTGGAATCTCCCACCCTAAAACCCTGCCACTGGACTTGCTCTTTCCAAGACCAACAACCAAGGATTGAATCAGGTCTCCTGCTCCCTGGCCACTGGGCTGGCTGAAACTGCCACCTACACATCTGTCCAGAAACCTCACTCCTCTTCTGCTTCCTCTGACCATGGCAGTCTCCTGGTTCCTTTGCCATTTCCCTGACTGCCACTCTGTCTCTTTTCTGCTCCTGACTCCTGAATGTTGATATTCCCAGGACATGGTCCCTGGTTCTCTTCTCAAATCCTTCTGTTCCCTCTCACTCCCACATGCATCAGATGTTGTACCACCAACATGTGGACAATCTCACATCCAATCCCACACAGAGGACTTCCATGTCTGACCTCTGCCAAGTTTCAGACTCCCAATCCAATCTTCCTGCTAATAATGTAATCAAAGACCATCCATGATAGGGGAAAAAACAAGTCTGTTTAAATCAAATACATCAAAATTTCCCCCCACAAAATCAGTATTTACGTTTTTTTTTTGAGACAGAGTCTCACTATGTCGCTCTTGGTAGAGTGCTGTGATCTCACAGCTCACAGCAACCTCAAACTTTTGGGCTTAAGCAATTCTCTTGCCTCAGCCTCCCAAGTAGTTGGAACTACAGGCATCCGCCACAATGCCTGGCTATTTTGTTGTTGTTGCAGTTGTCATTGCTGTTTAGCTGGCCCGGGCCGGATTCGACCCCGCCAGTCTGGGTTATGTGGCCAGCGCCCTACCCACTGAGCTACAGGCACCACCCCGTATTTACTTTTCCATCGCATTTAGCACTACGACTTGCTGTGTCTAAGGCAAAGATAGTCAGTCAGTATCCACCTTTATCCCTTTACCTTACTCATGATAAATATCCACCCAGCTTCTAATTCATATAGACCGAAACTGAAATTGCTCTCATTCCATCCTCCCCAGATTATCCCACAATAACTTCTTCACTGAGGACCCTGTTACTCCAATCTTCCCCAGACCACTGCAATAGCCTTCTTTGGCCTCCTTCTGTTTCTAAGTCATCTTGTATTTCAATTAAAAAACTTACCTAAAGCTCAGCTCATGCTGCTGTTTACCTGCCCACACATCCTACAAGGATACAACCACTCTGATAACCTTAGATGTTACTTTCTAAAGCTGAACGTAGGATCCAGCCGCACTACTCTTAGGCATAGCCCTACAGGAATGTGCACACATGATCACCAAACATAAGCAACTCCACTGTTCACAGCAGCACTATTCACAACTAAAAACTGGAAACAACTCAAATGCCAATCAACACAAGGAAGGATGAATAAAACACGGAATACCAATACAGTGGAACACTATACAGCAGGTTTTGGCAAACACTTTTGGTTAAAGGCCAGATTATAAATTTCTAAGCTTTCAAGGCCTTTGAGTTTCTGTTCTAACTGTTCAAGTCTCTGTTATAGCAGGAAAGCAGCATGGCCAAGATGTCAATAAGCAAGGGTGGCTGTGTGCCAGCAAAGCTTTCTTTACAAAAACAGGCAAGGACCTGGATTTGGTCCACAAGTTGTTACTTGCTGCCCCCTGCTATGTAGCAATGAGAATGAACCAAGCATAGCAATAGTAAACAACACGGAAGATCCTCACACACAATGGTGAACAGAAGCAGCTATGCTATTCCTGTACGAAGTTCAAAACTAGGCATAAGTAACCTATGGTGTGAGAGCCAAAATAAGAGCTGGCCTTGCTTACACCTGTGGTGATAGAGAAGGCAGTTAGAGAAGGAGACACAAAAGCACTTCTGGGATCCTGGTCCTATTCTGTTTCTTCATCTGTGAGCTGGTACCACAGGTGTCTTCCACTTGTAAAAATGTATCAAGATGTACAATTGTGACATAGGCACTTTCCTACATGTATTTTATACTTTAATACAAGTTAATATTAAAAAGAAAAGAAAATCCCCAAGGTCTATCAAACCTGGCCACTTAATCATCAATCTTCACTCTTCAAGTCAGGGTTCTTAAGACACACTCTATACTCACCCTACACTTCCCCACTTCAGTATCTCTAACCACAATATTCACTGGACTAGAGCACCTTCCCAGTCAGCTACCACTGATCATCCAAGGTCAATTTCAAATGCTATTTTCTTTTCTTTTTTTTTTTTTTTGAGACGGAGCCTCAAGCTATCCCCCTGGGTAGAGTGCCATGGCATCACAGCTCACAGCAACCTCCAACTCCTGGGCTCAAGCGAGTCTCCTGTCTCAGCCTCCCAAGTAGCTGGGACTACAGGCACCCGCCACAACGCCTGGCCATTTTTTGGTTGCAGCCATCATTGTTGTTTGGCGGGCCTGGGCTGGGGATTCGAACCCGCCACCTTAGGTGTATGTGGCTGGCGCCTTAGCCGCTTGAGCCACAGGCGCCAAGCCTCAAATGCCATTTTCATTACTAGGTCCCTCCTGATCATTCTTACCACTCCTATTCATGCAACATATGATTTCTGCTGATAAGATAGAGTTCTTATAGAGCACTGCATAATTCTATAAAAGCCAGGTTTTTTTTTTTCTGCTCAGCAAATGTAGTACAATGGTGACAGTGCCAGCCACATACACCAAGGGTGGCAGATTCAAACCCGGCCTGGGCCAGCTAAACAATTACAACAAAAAATAGCCGGGCATTGTGAAGGTCACCTGTAGTCCCAGCTATATTAAAAAAAATTTTATATATATATGCCAGTTTTTGTTTACAACTACAGTAGAACCTTCACAGTTGACCACCTGCATAAGTTGACCTAATTTTCATAAACCATACATGCACCACATGTGTTTATTAGTAGAGCAGGCCTATTTCTTCTGTTAACTACCTCCATACGTTGACCAGTTTGTTATAGTCCGTTAGGTGGTCAACTTACAGAGGTTCTACTATTATTAACCGTTTTCATTTTGTCCCACCTCTTCAATTGTAATTATTTGGACAAAAACTACAAATTACCCATCTTTAAATGAGTCTGCCTTTTTTTTTTAAGATAAGAGTCTCACTTTGTCGCCCTCAGTAGAATGTGATGCCATGGCATCACAGCTCACAGCAACTTCAAACTCTTGGGCTTAAGCGATTCTCTTGCCTCAGCCTCCCAAGAAGCTAGGACTATAGGCGCCTGCCACAAAGCCCAGCTATTTTTAGAGATGAGGTCTCACTCTGGCTCAGGCTGGTCTCAAACCTGTGAGCTCAGGCAATCCACCCGCCTCGGCCTCCAGAGTGCTAGGATTACAGGTGTGAGCCACTAAGCCCAGCCATGAGTCTGGTATTACAAGAAGTCAAAGACAAACTGCCATTTTAGTATTAATCAAAGAACTGTAAGCCTTAAACATTTAAGAAAAAATATCTAGTTGAATTGAGTATTTCCCAGAGAGAAGACCTTAAAAATGTAAATGAGAGTAAAGACGATCCTCAAGTTACAAACTCTGTCCAACGCAGTCTAAGTGTGAAGACACAGATGAACCATGTACTCACCTGAGGAATCTGCGTGCTTTTCCCACATCCCGTTTCTCCAATGATCACCACAGTCTGATAGTTTTCTATCAAGTATAAAATATGATTCCTAAGCTGAAAAAGAAAAACCATACATTATAAATAGCTACATGTTGTCTTAAAAGACCTAAACAAAGATATTTAAGCATTGTGAAATGAGCTGTTTCCAAAAGAAAGTAAATTTTAAAGAGAATTAGCAAAATGTATTTCTAACTCACAGGTGCTGCTGATGTCACTATGAGCTAACACAAGCACAGCTGAATGTGATGCTTATCAAAGTATATGATGCCCTCTGATTCAAGATTTTCACTTATAACAAGGTGTGCTACAGACACACCAATACATGTGTGCAAAGGTGAATACCGCACAAACAGGCACAGTCACTGCAGAACTGCTTATAATAGCCAAAAATTCAAACAGCCTAAATGTTCATCAATAGTTTGGTTAAATCAGTTATAAAACTGATAATGAAATAATTTGAATTAATAGCTATTAAAAAGTATAACTGGCTCGGCGCCTGTGGCTCAAGCGGCTAAGGCGCCAGCCACATACACCTAAGGTGGCGGGTTCGAATCCC